GAAAAACTGAGCCCACACCTGCGATCGAGGTGGTGCGATTACGCACACGAACAAGACGACGTGAGAGAACCGGAGATTGTGACGCTGTCCCGCTTCCTGATGCGCGAGGCAGATCGAGCGCTGCGCTTCACGTATGCACCATCTACAAGCACCATTGCCGCGAGCGCAGCACGAAGAGAGAGCAGACCAGCGATCGTCCTGAAGAAAAGAACACAACCAGTATACGCGACGGCCGAGCCGACTGAAGATATTGAGGTATGCCCTGGCTGTGGTCAACATCACCACTTGCCGCAGTGCCCCAAATATAAATCGCTCACGGTCAGTCAACGTTGGGAGTTAGTCAAGGACAAGAAGGTGTGCTTCAAGTGCATAAGCAGCAAGCACAGGCGCATCACCTGCCGAGCGAAGCCATGCGGAATCAACCAGTGTCGACGACCTCACCATCCCACACTCCATGAGGACATCAAGCCAACAGAGGACGAGAAGCCAAACGAGGAAGCCGTCCTGTCGGTGGCGTCGCGAGCAACCGGCGCTGCGAACGTGTTACTAAAGATATGCCCAGTGGTCGTCAGCGGTCCACGGGGGGAGGTGAAGACGCATGCACTTCTCGACGAGGGAGCAACCGTCACACTCATCGACGAGGAGCTGGCAAAGGCGATCGGAGCTGAAGGTCCCCTACAGTCACTGCACCTACGTGGCGTCAACATGCAACAAAAAGAACAACGCAGCCGACTAGTCTCGTTCAACATCCGGGGTCTCATGGAAGAAAATAACTTCGATATAAAGGCGAGAACGATGCGAAACCTGAACCTGCATCAACAATCTATACCAAAGGAACTTTTGAAGAATGAACACCTGCGCGACTTGAAAATCGACGAGGTGAGCTACGAACGAGCTCGCCCTGGCATCCTCATAGGCACCGATCACTGGGAGTGCATAGTGTCGAGAGAATTAAGAGTCGGCGAACGCGAGCAACCCGCAGCGTCGCGCACGCAGCTCGGATGGGTGGTGCATGGAACCGCGCCACGAAACACCATCTTAAGAACGGAACACGTACTGCACCTGTATGAACCGGGGCGAGAAAACATTGACCACGACCGACAGCTACACGAGTTGGTCGAAGAGCATTTTAAGATCGACGCATTGGCGATCTCGAAGGAACCACGTTTAAACAGCAACGAGAAGAGAGCAGTCACCATCGCCGAGGAAACCGTCAAGCGAACAAACGACGGCTACGAGATAGGACTACCGTGGCGCCGAGACGACGTCACCTTACCACCAAGCTACAACGCGGCATTTCGACGACTCCGAAAGACCGAGAAGAGGATGGACACCGACACACGCTTCGCCCAGGAGTACACCGCACAGATAGAAAACCTGCTCAGGAAACGGTATGCAGTGCCATGCGATGGAAAGGAACGGGAAAGTAACGTCGCGTGGTACTTACCTCACTTCGCCGTCACGAATCCGAACAAGCCTGGAAAGCTGAGGTTGGTGTTTGACGCGGCCGCCAAGAGCAACGGAGTCAGCCTCAACGATCATCTACTCGAAGGGCCCGACATGCTGCTGTCCCTACCTGGAGTGCTGTTCAGGTTCCGCGAGAAGGCGACCGCAATAACCGCGGACATACAAGAGATGTTCCTGCAGATCAAGATACGACCACAAGATCAATCAGCTCAACAGTTCCTGTGGCGCGGGGACGACAGGGAAGGTGCTCCACGCGTCTACAAGATGACCAGTATGATGTTCGGAGCAGCCAGTTCGCCGTTCCTAGCACATTTCATCAGGAACCACAACGCAAGGATCCACGCCGAGACACACCCGCTCGCCTACGAAGCTATAACGAAGTGCCATTACATGGACGACCTAGTGGCCAGCTACAACGATCCGGACGAGGCGAGGCGGGCGGCGAGCGAAACGAGGACGGTACACACGGCGGCCGGCTTCACACTGCGGGGCTGGAATTCGAATCACGAAACGGCGCTGCGCGATATACCCGAAGAACTACGCACGCACAAGCCAACGCAATTGGGACGCGACGGGTCCGAAAATAAAATACTTGGACTCGTATGGGACGCCGACAGAGACGAGCTCGGTTTCAACACCTCAATGAACAGGGTGCCGATCGACGTGCGCACACGAACGCGAGCTCCAACCAAACGCGAAGCGTTAAGCGCGGTCATGTCAATATTTGACCCGCTCGGACTACTCAGCTATTTCACGATCAGAGCGAAGATAATACTTCAAAACCTGTGGCGACTGAACATGGCGTGGGATGAAGAAATACCGGCGGAAGACTCTGAAACATTCGCCACCTGGTTATCGCAGTTGCATAACATTGCGCAACTACGAATACCCCGCTGCTATTCACCGAACGGGCGCAAACGCTACGAGCTACACGTGTTCTGCGACGCCAGCGAGCAAGCCTACGCCGCTGCGGCGTATTGGCGCATCATCGGGCCGGAAGAAGACGTCGACGTAGCACTCGTGGCGGCGAAAGCGAAGGTGGCGCCGAAGAAGACACAGACAATTCCACGACTAGAACTCCAAGCAGCCGTCATCGGGGCGAGGTTGGCGGACACCATACGACGGGAACATCGCATCGACATCGACAGAACTGTCTTCTGGACGGACTCGTCAACGGTGGTACATTGGGTACGCAACGAGACGCGACGATATACACCATTCGTCGCCCATCGACTGGGCGAAATATCGGAACTCACTCAAAAGGAAGAGTGGCGATGGCTACCGACCGACCTGAACGTAGCCGACGACGCCACACGACTTTCCAGCAGATCGATAAATGCAGAAGACCGATGGTTCCAGGGTCCAGCTTTCCTGCGGTCACCAACATCTCAGTGGCCCACCGAGAAAGTATCCACGTACGAAGAAGCAAACGTCATGCATATCAGTGAAAACGAACAGTCAAGTACGTGGCTACCCGATCCCACACGCTTCTCCAAATACGAAACACTCGTGAGAACAACAGCGCGAGTGTTAGCTTTCGTCGACATTCGCATAAGAAGAACCGCCACACGTATGGAATGTGGGCACATTGAACGAGCGGAGCGACTGCTTATTCAACACGCGCAACAGCAGAGCTTCGGGGACGACATACGACGAATCAACGCTTCACGTCCAATCTCTAAGTCGAGCAAAATCTATCGACTCGATCCCATCATAGAAGACGGATTATTGAGATTAAGAGGGCGCATAGGAGCGGCGTCCATACCAGCAAGCGCAAAACAGCCCGTCATCTTGGACGGTCGGCACGCGCTCACGAGATTAATCGTTCTTCGCGAACACTGCGCCGCCGGCCACGCAAGCAGGGAACGCGTAACCAACGACTTACGTCAGCGATATTGGATTATACACCTGCGACCTACAGTGCGCACAGTGGAACGAAACTGCGCACTCTGCCGCATACGCCGAACGAAGCCGCAGCAGCCCGTCACCGGAGACCTACCACGAGCCCGCCTGGACCCATTCTTTCGACCGTTCACTAACTGCGGAGTCGATTATTTCGGGCCGATGATAGTTAAGGTGGGTCGACGCCGAGAGAAAAGATGGGGCGCGCTATTTACATGCCTCACATCGCGCGCCATACACTTAGAAATCGTCTCATCGCTATCTACGGACTCTGCAATTATGGCGTTACGACGGATGGCTGCGCGAAGAGGATGGCCGCGCATCATGTATTCAGACAACGCTACGAACTTCAAAGGGGCGGACCACGAACTACGAGCCGCTTACGAAGAATGGACGTCGAGCCTGCACGAAGAGGGACTACGACATCGCCTCGAGTGGAGATTTATCCCTCCGGGCGCACCTCACCAAGGCGGAGCGTGGGAGCGGTTAATTAGATCAGTCAAGACAGCTTTAAACGCCGCCCTCACCGAAAAGACACCTACGGAAGAAGTGCTACGAACGTTGCTGACCGAGGTGGAGTTCTCCGTTAACGCACGACCACTAACTCACGTCAGCGTTAACCCAGCGGACCCGGAGGCATTAACTCCGAACCATTTCCTATTGGGCTCATCGACGGGACTGCCCATCACCGGGACGTGCGATGCAGCGGATCGACGGGCCTGGCGCGCATGTCAAGCACTCGCCGATCATTTTTGGCGAAGATGGGTGCGAGAATATCTACCAACACTCGCACCACGCGGAGCGTCTGAACAAGGGAAACGACAGCTTCAAGTCAACGATATAGTCATAATCGCAGATAATACACTGCCAAGAAACGTATGGCCTCTGGGGGTAATTACACGCACCTACCCGGGACCCGACGGAGGAGTACGAGTCGCCGATGTACGCACCAAGACGGGCATCTTTAAGCGCCCCGTTAGCCGGCTCGTCGCTTTGAAGATTGAAGAGGCTACGCAAGCTGCGCCGGGGGGAGAGCTGTTAGCGACTCAAGCGGCTAACGGATCGCCTAAGTAATTTACAGAAGAAAATAACAAAGTGTCGCCTAACACACCGGTTGAACAGCCACATCGCGTCAAGCAATAGTTCGTCGCGCGTCCTACCAGTCAACGGCGGAGCAACCAGTCGCAGCGAAATCACCGCTTGTCGAACCGCCCTGGGTGGCGCCACGGCGACGGCGGATCGAGGCCGTGATTGGTCGACGCCCGAAGATTAGCTTTTAAACACTAGTTAATTGTCATACCACTGTCAATGTATATATATGTGTAAATAAAAATTTGTACGATACGGCTCAATTGTAATGAAGAATAATAAACGTATAAAAGGAAGAACTCTTTTATTGGAAGAACCATTCAAAATTAATACAGTCCACTACAATAGTGTAAGTTAACAATAAAAAAAAATATTGTGTGTGTGTGTGTGTGTTTTTTTTTTAAATTAGGACCAGTCCGATGAATCTTCAGTGGTGGAAGTGTTATTCTCGTTTGTCCTTTCGTGTTGTAGGCTCCCAATGAAATCTGAGTTTCTTCCCTCAGCATTAGTGAGCGGACGTCTGAGTTCTCTGGGGCATCTCATTGTGGGTGCGATGTTTTAAAATAAAAGTACCGAGGGTATAGGGGTTGGTTGCTAAATCGACCATTCATAAAATTCGAGTGCTTTTTTCTGAAGTGCCTCAGCATTTTACGGCTGGTGTAGAACACGCCGCATAATAAGCACTGGTATCCACCATTTGCCCTGGTGGGATAGGAAGGTGTGTTGCCGGTGGAACTGTGTGAGCTACAATTAGTGGCTGCTGTAGTGCTGGTGCAGGTTATTATATCTTCGGTGTGCCCAGCGATGTCGAGATCAGAGTTGACTACAGGAATCCGGAAGATGCTGCTATCAAAATTGTTATCTTCAGAGATTTGATTGTTGGGGGTTGAGGATGGGCTTGGCAGTCTCGTTGGGACCTCGTGGATGCTCCTGCCGGGCTGGCTATTCAGGTTGTAGTTAGGAGCTCTAACCTGAGTATATCCACTGAGGTTATTGATGATGGAGCTCGAGGATCCACCGAGTCTTGCATTGGAAAGCATGATTTCGCTGAGATTGAATACGGCGTGGGTAAGTTTTTGGTTAGAGTCGCGGAGAGTGTTAACTTCTTCCATAGCTTCTTTTAGTTCATTCCTTAGTGATTCACATGACGAGCAGTTTTCCTCCATAGGGGTGCTGTTGGATGATCGGGGAGGGACAAGAAGTAGGGTTGTCACCGAAGCTGGTGCTGGAGATGGAGCACTCTGAGCACTGAATCACCGATAGTATGAACCCGATAACTGTCACCAAAAGCATACAGAGACACTATAACACACCGTATACAGTGACACCTGCGGATTTAACCGCGGTGACTGTCACCGGTGACTTCTCACAAAAACTCCGCGATTCCGACGAACTGTTGACGTCTGTCACCGATGACACCGGTGACTTGTCACTGAAGCAGCGAAGCACCACTGAGGATTGTTGCTTGCGATCTGAATCAATCTTGCCTTGAGCTTGAATATTTATAGCTACAAGGGGAGAAAGAGTGGGGAGTATTGGGAGGCGCTAGTTCAATTGTACTCTGGGGGCGCACAGAAACACTATGAGCTATAACTTTGAGATCGGCGGCGACGGCCTGTCACCGATGACACGCCACCGTAGTTGTATGTGACACCAGTGACGCGTCACCAATGTCACTAATGTCACCAATGTAACCAATGCCACCAATGTCACCAATGTCACCAACGTCACTAATGTCACAGAAGACCCGGTGACACCAGTTACGCGTCACCAATGTCACTAGCGTCACCAGCGTAACCAATGTCACCAGTGTCACCAGCGTCACCAATGTCACCAGTGTCACCAATTTCACCAGCGTCACCAGCGTAAGCGATGTCACCAGTGTCACCAATGTCACCAGCGTCACTAGCGTCACAGACGACTCAGTGACAGTCACCGAAACTCCGCGACGCCAATTACGCGTCATCATTGTCACAAATGTCACCAGCGTCACCAGCGTAACCAATGTTACCAGTGTCACCAATGTCACCAGCGTCACCAATGATACCAGCGTCACCAATGTCACCATCGTCACTAGCCTCACAGACGACTCAGTGATAGTCACCGAAACTCCGCGACGCCAGTGACACGTCACCATTGTCACAAATGTCACAATGTCACCAATGTCACCAACGTCATAGACGACTCGAAGACATCAGTGACGCGTCATCAATGTCACCAGCGTCACCAGCGTCACCAATGTCACCAGTGTCACCAATTTCACCAGCGTCACCAGCGTAAGCGATGTCACCAGTGTCACCAATGTCACCAGCGTCACTAGCGTCACAGACGACTCAGTGTCACCGAAACTCCGCGACGCCATACGCGTCACCATTGTCACAAATGTTACTAGCGTCACAGACGTCACCAGTGACAGTCACCGAAACTCCGCGACGCCAATTACGCGTCATCATTGTCACAAATGTCACCAGCGTCACCAGCGTAACCAATGTTACCAGTGTCACCAATGTCACCAGCGTCACCAATGATACCAGCGTCACCAATGTCACCATCGTCACTAGCCTCACAGACGACTCAGTGATAGTCACCGAAACTCCGCGACGCCAGTGACACGTCACCATGGTCACAAATGTCACAATGTCACCAATGTCACCAGCGTCACCAGCGTTACCAATGTCACCAATGTCACCAGTGTCACCAATGTCACCAGCGTCACCAGCGTAACCAATGTCACCAGCGTCACCAATGTCACCAGTGTCACCAGTGTCACCAATGTCACCAGCGTCACCAGCGTAACCAATGTCACCAGCGTCACCAATGTCACCAGCGTCACTAGCGTCACAGACGACTCGGTGACAGTCACCGAAACTCCGCGACGCCAGTTACGCGTCACCATTGTCACAATGTCACCAAAGTCACAGACGACTCGAAGACACCAGTGTCACACATGTCATCAGCGTCACCAGCGTAACCACCGTAACCATTGTCACCAGTGTCACCAATGTTACCAATGTCACCAGTGTCACCAATGTCACCAGCGTCAAAAGCGTAAGCAATGTCACCAGTGTCACCAATGTCACCAGTATCACCAATGTCACCAGCGTCACCAATGTCACCAGCGTCACCAATGTCACCAATGTCACCAGCGTCACCAATGTCACCAGTATCACCGATGTCACCAATGTCACCAGCGTCACAGACGACTCGGTGACAGTCACCGAAATTATGTCACACCGGCGACTTGGCCCACTATCGGTGACTGTTCACGACTTGTCAGCAGCGAATGCAAGATGCCAGTCACGACGACGGTTGGAGACGGACTGTATTAATGAATACCAAATATTTCCTTTTGACTTAAAAGTTGTAAAATTTGACGCGTAGAGCTTGTCTGCTTACCTCTTTCATTATCTCCGGGTCGAAGATATACAGCACGGGTCGGGTTCTGGACGCTTTGGCCAATCGCACCAGATCCCCGTATCGTCGACGCAAACCCTCCAGTAAGCCCAGGCCTACTGCGTGGTGGAAGTTACCTGAAAAGATGACACGTAAATATTTGTATTGTAACATGTAAAAATATTTAAGTTATGGCGAAGTTATATTCTTGATCACATCGTTTGTCTTAAACCTTTAAAACATTAACATTATTTTTCATGCTCTATTTAATTGAGAAATTAGAGCACAAAAAGAAATTTGTTCTAGTTCTTTTCAAAAAAGTTTTAATGCGTCTTGATTCAATATTAAATACAGCTGAAATATTTTCAATTATGTTGTCATTTTGGGTCAAATTTCTTTTGTCTGTGCTCACCTCAAGTTTTTATTGTAACTTGTCAAATAGAGTCACGACTTCATGGCGTCATTTTGTTATAATAAATATCGATATCTTTTTTATTTTTCATGTAAGTTATTTATTGTGTGCTTACAAACATTTTAGGTTGAAAATTAGTGAAATCAATCATACAATAAAGTAATCAAATAAAGTATGTGTGTACGTATGTATGAACGTAAAAAGTTATACCATCTTTAGCTTAACAATACATAATCACGGTTTAATTAAATCATCATCATCATCATCATATCAGCCGTAGGACGTCCACTGCTGAACATAGGCCTCCCCCATTGACTTCCACTTCGACCGGTCGTTAGCGGCCTGCATCCAACGCGTCCCTGCGATCTTGGCTAGGTCGTCCGTCCATCTTGTCGGAGGCCTTCCTACGCTGCGTTTGCCGTCACGTGGTCTCCACTCGAGAACCTTTTTGCCCCAACGGCCGCCGGTTCTTCGAGCTATGTGCTCTGCCCACTGCCACTTCAGCCTGCTGACTCGCTCTGCTATGTCGGTAACTCTAGTTCTTCTACGGATCTCCTCATTTCTGATTCGATCTCGTAGAGAAACCCCAAGCATTACCCTTTCCATAGCGCGCTGTGCGACCGCGAGCTTCCTTATGAGGCCCATAGTGAGAGACCACGTCTCGGCACCGTAGGTCATCGCTGGTAGCACGCACTGGTTAAAGACTTTCGTCTTTAAGGACTGTGGTATTTTGGACGTAAAGACGCTGCGCAATTTCCCGAACGCAGCCCAGCCGAGCTGGATTCGTCGATTGACCTACTTCTCGAAGTTGGATTTGCCTTGTTGGACCATTTGTCCCAGATAGACATAGCTATCAACAACTTCGAGTGGCGAGCCTCCCAACAATACGGGGGTGGGCGTCACATGGACATTTGACATGACTTTGGTCTTTTCCATGTTCATTTTCAGGCCCACCCGCTGGGATACTCTATTGAGGTCTTCGAGCATTGTGCTGAGCTCCTCCAAAGACTTTGCCATGACTACGATGTCATCGGCAAACCGAAGGTGAGTGATGTATTCGCCGTTGATATTGATGCCACATCCTTTCCAATCCAGGAGCTTGAAGGCGTCTTCCATTGCATTGGTAAAGAGTTTCGGAGAGATAACATCTCCTTGCCTCACTCCCCTCTGCAACGGAATAGCCTTTGTGCTCTGATCCTGTACTCGGACCGACATGGTGGCGTTTTTATACAAGCACTTCAACACTTCGATGTACCGATAGTCAATTTGGCACCTTTGAAGAGACTGCAGCACTGCCCAAGTCTCGATCGAATCGAAGGCTTTCTCATAGTCCACTTAATTAAATAACTTGGAGTTATAAGAAAACTAGCGACCCGGCCCTGCTTCGCACGGGTGCAATGTATTATACATATAAACCTTCTTCTTGAATCACTATCTAGTAAAAAAAAACCGCATCAAGATCCGTTGCATAGTTTTAAAAATCTAAGCCTCTCTATGTAGGGATAAACAGACAGCGGGACGACTTTGTTTTATACATAGTATACATAGTATAAAACAAAGTCGTCCCGCTGTCCGCTGTGTGTGATATCAAAAAGTTGTTATGGATTGCTATGGTGTTACGGGGGGAAGTTGGTCGCTTTGCAAACTATTTCATCATGTCGCTTTTTGGATGTCACGCATCTTAATAATTTTCCTCTCATATTTTTTTTTCAACGCGTCAAAAGAAGAATAACTTCAAAAGTAAAATGAATAGTGACAAATTGCTAATCATTGCTAATCAAACAACATCAGATTGTATTTTATTCGTCTAAAGTTCATTAAAGCGCTGTATGCAGTAAAAATAGGTTTTACAAAAGATTTTATAACAAAATCTACACATTTTATAGCAGCAAAAAAAATATATGTTAATCTCGATCTTACATTCTAATGGAACATTGTTTACAAAACATATTCTCGATATATTTTCTCGATAGAAAAAAGTCCTGAATCTACCCCTAAAGGCGAAATTCAAATCTAAAAATGAACGTAATACATCAACAAATCTTAATGAAATAAATATCAGTGGTGTACAATATTTTAATAACAAGTATTGTTGTCTTAATTTGTTGATTGAAGTAAGATATTTGTAAATATTAATTTAATTCATTAAAATTAATTTGAACGCGACGACCAAAACATCGCGCCACCGCGGCGTTGTTGTTTTGTATCTTGTATTAAATGATGTTTTTGCTTTCAGTCCCGAGACTATTAAAGCTTTATCTGACGCAGAACCGGTGGGTTAGCCAGAACCCACGGGGTTGGGGGCGTTGTTTCGGTTCTCTTCCAATTCCACACGTTGAACAGAGAGCGCTAAGGCGCATTGCTAGATGTATAGGACTGCTATACATACAGCTTAACGGACTATCATTCTATAGGGATTGGGTTCAAATCCCTACATTTCTTTGTTATATTTTCTGGTGATTTTATTTTTGGTAGGTATTTTTTTATTTACCATTCAATTTTTGTTGATTTTTTATTATTATAAATAATTACAACGAAATATTATTGTATTTGTTGAATGTAGAACGCAACAGTTGGAGAACAATCTATCAGATAATAAACCAACTTTTCATTATTTAAAATTTTTAACAAGTCTCATATTGTATATTGTTTTTAATTTTTTTGATTAAATTATATAATTTTTCACCCTAAAACGAAAATTATTCTTACGAAAAATAATTGTTTTATAATTTTTTTATTGATTTGTTTATTTTCCACATTTTATGAAATAAAAACAAAATAATAAATTAAAATTGGAAAAAGATACCAAGGTACCATTCAATAAGGAGTTGGGACCACAGTAATTGTTCACCTACCATGACGCTCGGACCAATAGGCTACACGATGTCTGTGGAAGGCGACAAAATTTCGATTCTACTTATAGTTGTTGTCGTTTATCGATATAAGGAATTTTATTGAGGCATTTATATAACGTAGTAACATTTAAAGGATAAATTAAAGATAACATTTAAAGGATAAAATTAATTTTGAACAAAAAAAAGACTTCAAACAGGAAATAAAATAGTGTCAACACCATTTGTAAATTGATTGTTGATTGCGTTCTCATACTTTGTATTTGTTTATTATTATTCCTACAATAATATAAAAGTAAAATACAATCATGGTCTATCAAAGATATAGGGATCATGTGTACATTTTCGAAAGCCTTCCATGATACTATCGATAGTTTCGATAGTATTCTACGGCCGACCACTACACACACAATAGGTAAAATGAATGACTGACTTGTTCACGCGGAGCGTCGACGAATCTCGCGGGCTGCGCCCGGCTAAGCGCGGTTACCCCTCCTCCGCTTCCTCAAACTTCACCACTCAAATAGTTAAAAATTCACTGCCTACAGCGCCTTAACTTGCTGAAATATCTTTAACTCAAACGAGTGTTTTCGAATGGGATTCCAATCCAAAAGCAAATACGGATCAACGGAGTTTCTAAACGGCCGCTATTGAAGAAACGGACGGAGAAATAACCGTTCGGCCTACCCGAGTGAACAGTTTTCCAGTCTGGTGGGCGACAGATAAAATAATATAGGACAATATGAACAACTGGTGTGTTCGGGATCGAAAAACGATTTGATCTTGTGAGCAAATACTGCGAGGAATGATTGCCGTTTGATTCGTTTTTAACGAGCGACGGACCGGAAAAGGAACGATTCAATTGTAGTTTTTCGCTCCATTATTATTCGGAATGTATGTTTTTTTTAATTCTAAAAAGATTAGCTGCCTGTGTTTCTATCAAATTACAAGTAGGCACTAAGGTTTATTTAATTGTAGGTTTGCTTGAATACAAGAATTTGTAAGTTGTCTCTTGGGTTCGTAATTAAAAGAGTTGCCTTTGAGCGTGATGACACTTGAGTCGTGCTTGCCACAGCATAAAGTTTTTTTAATAACAAGACCACTGTAGTTTTTAAACTAGCAACCCATAAAACAGCTTTTTTATATCGTGTTTCATTTTTATATACATCACACATATAAATTTAAATTATCTACATAAACATTTTTAATCCCAGAGATACATGTAATTCGTAAAATATTTTGGCATTTACGAATGTCGGGGTCACGGGAGAGTAGTGTTATCAGATAGGTATAATTCGAGGCAATAAATTATGATATCAATAAAGATCAATATATTCATAAAAGTAGATAACATTTCACGCGAACGTAATGTGAGAGATTTGTTAGCCGTATGTGGATTTAAAAATAAATGCCAACCTTTATAGGTAAACGAAAATGGATTCGAAACGAGATTGCTGTAAAGGGTAACTCTTTCACTGTCAACAAGGCTTGCACTTATGCTAACAGAATGATACTTTGATTGGTTCATAGTAATTGTTAGTAAATCCACTGTCTTGTCTCCAACGTTTCACTCATACGCTGAATCTGAACCGGACACACGAAAAACTTTTTTGTATACGCGCCTGGTATTCGACCGATTTGAAAACGAGTTGAAATCCCAATATTTGGCAATGTTTACTGACATACATTCTTTTGTTACGGGAAAATACCGTCGCTTGTATCAATTACTTGGCCACATTGTCTTATTAGTGTTGTAGATCTGAGATCATTATATCTTTACGTCATTTTTTTTTTCAAAAATAATTTTATTCACATAGGCGCTTGCGCGTTGTTATGAAACGTCGAAATTTGACATAGAAATTAATACGTTCGTAAGTTACCACCGATTCGGAAAGCAGTTTCTGTTGAGAAGAAACCGGCAAGAAACTCAACAGTTGCTTTATTATAAAACGATTAGTTTACAATATTATAGGACAGGTTTAAGTCTTATTTTAGCCTACGTAAGTAGGTATCAACAGTATCAACCCCACACATTGGCGTCGTCAAGATGTTCCGCAATGGTATAATACGCCATAAGTTGTAGACTTAATATCGACATCCCCATGAACGACATATTTATTTTTGTAGACAAAACGATGGCGTAGTTTATTTGTCCTTATTTCTAGTATTTAATTTATGTCTGTCACTATTCTTTAGGAAACAATTAAGATTACCTATGTCTAACATACAAAATATTACAATAAATATATTGGAACGCAACAGTGTGATATGTTAGTCTCTTTAAAAAGATCTCTGAGTGTATTCCCGGCTCCGATATTATAGATTAGGGCCAATTTTCAAAAGGTTGTCAACGCATCTGGAACCCTCGGGTGTAGCAGATGTCCATGGGCGGCGGTATTCACTCAACATCAGGTGAACCGTCTGCTCGTTTGACAACTTTTCGCATTAAAAAAAAAGATTGCTCGGAGAGCTTTTTTTTTTGAAAAATAAATATAGAATTTATAACAGATGGACTACCCCACAAGAAATGCTGTACGACAAGATGCTGTGGAAATAACTGAAATAAACAATTTTGGAAAGGAAAGCTAACTTCTGGGTATACAAATCTACGATTATTATTCCACCGTATTACCTATAGTCTGACGGTAGCCAAAATAGCTTAATACGATGTAACCATTCGCCGTTAGTCCACCTTTCACTTATTTTTTCTAGTCTGCGACTAATGCAGTGGCTATTTGGGGATTTAGAAAGTAGTTTAACTAATTATGTGGCCAATGGCGACACGTGTTTTTCGCACAAACATAGCAGCCTGCTTTCGCACGTCCAAAGCAACCTGTTACACCAAGGAGCTCTGAAAAGCCAAAAAAACTAATTCCAAGGCTCTTTGCTCTATGACGCTTTGCACAGTGTACGGATTGAAAATACATATATCAATTGAGGACATTCAAAGAACATAGAACGAAAGCGTCACCCAATAATAATGGTCGACGTTGGGTTTCATTGTAAATTTGGTCAGCACAACTAGTAGTTGCGTCTACATACAATTCTTATCATACTTCTTTAAATGATTTCTGAGTGGACAATCCGGTTAAATAAATGTAAAAGCTCTTTTATCCTTTGACTATTAGACGATACGTTTGCATTTTTTTTTTGTTGCCGTAACTCAGAGCATATCAGTTGCTTTTTAGATGATAATTAAACACAACAATGGTCGCATTGTATTGTATATTTGAAGCAATCTATTTCTTACTATTCTGAATGTGCACGATCTTTTTAGACAAACCATATTGAAGTTTGTAGAATTCTTTCTGTTAAATATTTTAAGAGAACAACTTGTGGATGTTCATTATCTGATCATCACAAGTTACAACGTACTTTTTCTAAAAATTTTAACATCACAAGTTGTTTTCTAGCCAGAAAACAAAGATAATACCGAAGACGTAGATAGAACGAATATAATACCGAAGACTCGTTTTAGCGTTCTTAGTAATAAAAAGAAATTGCTTTTATTCAGACTATTTCTCTAAACGTTTTTTGGCTTTACAACTTTATTATTCCATTTCGTCGCCTAGATTCAATTATTTCATTATTATAAGAGAGAAAGTTTCCTAAACCCATTCAATTAACTCGTAGAAAATTCTCTATCGTCTGATTCCTCAGTGATTTGAAACTACAAACATTAGTTAAAAAAAAAGGTCAATTGTAATTAAAAATGTAAACTAAAACAACCATGTAAAATGCATTACATGCGTTTGCATGCATTTTGAATGTAATTTCGTATTAATGAAATACATGCTTCTAAAGAAAACCTCGCAATTGTTCGACAGCTGTTATCTCCTATGCAAATATTAAACGCCAATAATTATTGTTCATGCATCAAAACTGAATTAATATTCCGTTCGCACCTGCGTTCCTCCTACGTCATTTGTCGCAAACAAATCGCTTCAGTAATAATAAAACGTTATACGTATTCGTTAAAGCAAAATGTGCACGTTTTGAAAATATTATATTGTTTAAATTAAACTACAACTCTATAAAAAAAACTTTCATGAATTCTTAATGGAATGGGCGGCTTCACTTCGACTTCACGACGATTAGAAAGATTCATTATGTCAAGGGCACAGCCGCAGCCAGATTTTGTTATGGGGAGATTCAAAAATGATCAATGATTCAAAAAAAAAATGTGTGTGAAATTGTAGTTATATTATAAAGAAATAAGTCAACAGTTAGTAATAGGAACATCAAAAAGGAGAACACATTTTTCAAATTTTTTTTCATTATGTTCACGAGTTTGAAAAATTGGCGATCTAAATGAATAATAATTAATATAGTGTGCCAATTGTTTAATATTTTTTGTAATCTTAATTTAATCAGATATTTATAATTTTAAGAATTTAAACTGTATTAAAGTAAAGACTAAAATGACCACAAGTTAACCATTTTTCTTTAACAAAAAAACAAAGCCTTCACTTCAAAGTGTTATACTGCCTCATACGTCTATAATATTGTCTCACTCAATCTACAGTTTCTATTTGAATTTGGGGAATTCCCTAATGTTTCACCAGAGTCTAAGGTCCAATGTCAATGGTACGGGACCACATGGTAGCTTATCCGAACCCAATGTAAAATGAATTTTTTAAATCGGTTCACAAATGACGGAGTTCATAGGTAACAAACATAAAAATACACAACCGAATTCAGAAACTCTCTTTTTTTGAAGTCGTTTGAAAACGTGTAATAGTGAACTCTGAAAGATGCGGCGAATTCATCGAATAGACATTCTTTCTAAATATTCATTTAAATTTTACACTTCATTGTTTTTCGGTAAAGGTTTGTCAGAGAAATGAATTTAGATAATGCCTTGGGCTACGAATGGACGGTGATCATAAAAATCCGTCTAGACGGTGCGAGCCGGTGACGTTACTTATCTGAAGCATCTAAGATGAGCGGGACATTGTGCATTTGAATATAAAACCACGTCTCAGCAACTTCGTCCTTATGCAATCTTTCGTTTCGTCGTCCCTTTCAAACCCTGTACTAAATTGTCGATTGACTTCGCCAGAATTTGAATTTTAATTCGAACATGTGTGTTCTTATATATTGTGACAATTTAAAGAACTTTTAACATCAACATATGGATCGACCAGACAGCTTAGATCAGTTATGATAGCAAGAAATTATGCACATGTTTCTTAAACAGCATTGTTGAGTCTAAAGTTAAAAAGGTTAAAAGACTGTAACAGAACAAGATTTAGGGTATTTATTTTTGTTGTCCCCTATTTACGACGATTTGTTATTGCGACGAGGATCGCTCGTCGCAATAACAAAACACGTTTTACTCCCTGTTGTGACTCTTACTGGACTCCGCGATTTGTACGGAAATCTGCCAGTGTATTGCGAGTGTCTTCCGAGTGTCCCTCAATTGTCCGAGTGTCCTCTGAAAGTCTTTCCATTGTCCGAATCTTCCCGAGTGTCCCTCAATTGTCCGAGTATCCCCTGAGCGTCCCTAAATTGTTCCCGTGTCCCCTGAGTGTCCCTCGTTTGTCCGGGTGTCCCATGAGTGTCGATTGTCCGAGTGTACCCTGAGTGACCCTCTATTGTCCGAGTGTCCCCCGAGTGTCGATTGTCCGAGTGTCTCAAATTAAGTTTACTTGGTAACTCCGCAACTGGTAACATCTATTACAGTATCTTAGTAAATGAGCTTACCTATCCTGGGCAAAACATGCGCGGAGTGCCTTAGCATGGGAAGTGCCAAGGGACCAGGAATGTCCTTGAACCTTTTTGGAGTGGTGACAAGTTCGGGCGAAATGGCTTTTCGTTGCGGTGACGTCGAGCTCCGCCGACCCGAAGAGTTGGATATGCGGCGCCGAGATTGCCGCGGAATCCTGAATTATTGGAACATTATAATGACTGGTTTTAATTACCGGGGCCCACTTCATTAAAAGGTGACAACGCCTTTGCAACCTTATGGGTGTTGCAAATGTCCATAAGCGGCGGTTATCACTTACCATCAGGTGAACCACCAGTCGCTTGCCATCTTATCACATAAAAATGATACCTATACATATTCAAATATGTGTTCAAAATCAAAATCAAAATCAAAAATATATTTATTCAAATAGACGCTTGCGCGCTCTTATGAATCGTCAAATTTTACATCAAAGATTATGTATATAGGTTCGTAAGGTACCACCGGTTCGGAAAGCAGTTTCTGTTGAGAAGAGACCGGCAAGAAACTCAACAGTTGCTCTTTTTCAAAAATATCAGGGTACAATATAATATACAGGTATAATAGTCTTATTCTAGCCTACGTGAGTATCAACAGCAACTCCACACATTGGCGTCGTCGAGATATTCCCAAATGGTGTAATATGCTTTAATCTTTATTTGATTTTTAATTTTACATTTCATTGACATTGTTCACTATATCCTACTTCGTTAGAATCACGCAGTGGGTTCCACTGCTGTATGGATTCGTACCAAGTACGGAAGTTTGACGTGATGAATATAATGAGTGAATACACTAATGCATATAATGAACTAATGCATTTGGTCAGCGGATTAACTACGATTGCGTGATCGTGAGCCCTTAAGTAAAAAGTAGACAGTTAATGGCGACATGAACTGCTCATTTTCGATCTGTGCATGTTATCACGTTATAAAATATTACTACTGTTGCGCGTTACGCGTTGCCAGAGTTTTTTTTTTTCTTGTCTCTTACTTATCGTTTTAATAGTGACCTGTCGAAGCTAACAAAAAATGTTTCTATGTGTGTTTGCGCCGCATATTCACTTTATTACTTAGAAATAATTGTGCTCTATCTGGGTGCCACACTTAACGTAGTATTCTTCTTCTTCTTCTAAAGTTAAAGAAAGATACAAAGCATTCTCTACTAGATATTTCATTATTATATGGAATAATATTATTTTGATTATTGTAGACAATAGGATGCGGGGTAGGACGAGAAATTGTTATGTTTGACAAACTCAAACTTTTGCCAGATATTCGCTGGGAAGGTTGGTTTGTTATTAAGCGTTCGAAAAATGCAATGCATTAAATATTATCGTATAACTCCCAATAAAAAATGTGTACGTACTCTTTGTGCACAGCTAAATAGCTAATTTTTGGCCAGAAGTTTACGCGATAGTAAATTCTCAAAATTATCAACAAATCCGTTTTAAAACATGGCCAGTCTAAAGTCTTTTATTTACGTAATACGGTACATCTACGTTTCATATAGTTTTTGGTTTTAAAATACTTTTAGAAGGGGCGGTATTGAAAATGATTATTTACACTCACAATTGAAGCCAGTTTCATATGTCGGATCTTTATTTTATTAATTTTTATTAGATGTCGATTATCAAAAACGAACTGTAATCCGACTGCAAACTTGATCTCGCTACTTATATCAACAAGAATATCCATAACTGGTTGAGAGTACTTTATAGAGATTATCACTGGATCCCACAAAATGCATCCTTAATTTGAAGTAGCAAAGTTAATTTCGCAATAAATATCGTGGCATCGTTAAGGTAAGCGACGCGCAAACTGCGTCGCAGAATGGGTCTCGACGGTCATTAATAAACTTGAAGGAAGGCTCAGGTTCAAGGTCAGGGACACAAATGTTTATGTCTCGTGCCGTCGATTGTTTACTACAACTCGACTGTAACATAATGAACGTGACACTACTCACAATGTCATGTAATCCACTATCACATTTATTTCATATAACTACAACCCAGGTTACAATATTTTTGGTAGTTTCAGCCGTGATAGCCGTGTCCGGCCGCTCGCCTTTATTTCAATATACTGGAGCAACCTGAATTCGATCCCGGGTGCCGGCACCAATGAAATTGTTAATTTTAAGTGCTGAATTATCACGTGCTCGGCGGTGAAGGAAAACATTATGAGGAATCCTGCATATTTTCAAAATAATTATATTTAAAAAAATATTTCGAAGATATGTGAAGTCTGCCAATCCGAAGGGGGCCGCGTGGTGGACTACGCTCTGATACCGCTACAGAGGAGGCTTTTGCTCAGCAGTGGGACATATACAGGCTACTGTACTTTACTTTAAGATTTTCAGAAGCAGCGATAGGTTCGATAGTTTGTGTCTTTTGGCAGTTTTCTTTTTGTATCTGAGAGGTTTTTGAAGTAATCAGGACTAACAGTCGTGTTCAACTACTCCATTTATTGTTTAACTGATGCCAAAATCGTTTAGGTCTCAAGTGGAGCATTGTTCTTTGAGATTGCTCTCGACGAATTAACGAATTTATTCGAACGGTCAAGGCAATTACCATTTATCCAACTTAACTTCGTGACAGCAGCCGACATTTCTGATTAAAAAAATTACAGTGGCAACGCTAAAAATATAAATCTGATAAAATTTTGGATGGTTGGCCGCGCATCTGTTAAATGTGTTTAATTTGCACTATATAATTTTAACGCAACCTCACAGAGTTTTTTAATCTAGGAGTTTGCCAAAACTACCTATTATTTAATAAATAATAGGTAGTTTTCTTAATGAACACGTAATATAATAGAGTTGTAATACATATTTACTTATGAATAAACTTTAAAGCCTTCATGAAATATTATTTCAAAAGGTGGAAACTAAAGAAAAAGTACGAAAGAAGGTCACACGTAGTCTAATGTTCAAAGCAAGAAAGTTTGTCCCCAGCAAGGATGTAGGCACGTTATTAGCATAATGTATTCGTTTCGCCAATTTAGCCAAGGCTATGCAAAAATCACGGTAGGTACATACTTACATATGCAGCAGACATTTGCACCTTAGGAATAATCTACTATATTCGTAGTTATGTTTAATGGATTTTACGTGGTTTTTTGATCAAGTGACGCCACCACAAAATTGTCTTGAATGTGAATGAATTTGAGTGTTAAATCGTTAAACCAATGGTAATCTTACATTTTTTTTCTTTTTTCTTATTATAATATTGTGACATAAAAAATTAGTGTACTATAAAATTATAACGCATCTGTAAACTTACAGGAAGTATAGATACTTATATAGTTAATATGAATTATAAAACCTGTTCTATCGATAACGAAAGATGATAAACTCAAAGAATTATGAAGATTACCGGTTTTTTTTTACAAAAAAATATAAAAATTGAACATGTTAAAGGGTCTATTTGTTAATACAAATTGCTACGGAAATAACAAACACTAAACTAAAACAATGAAAAGTCAAACTTACACAAAGTTGCGGATTAGTATTCCTGGACTTGACATTTTTACACTTTTACGTGACTAGATAAAATAAAAAGGTTTTGGCAAAGTTTTTCCAAACAAAACAAAAACACTTTTTACGACGAGCCCGACATATTTGTAAACAATTTTTGCGAACTGTCTTGTTGCTTTTAATCGCGTCCGTACGTAAGCGTATACGATTTTATAATGTATGCTATGATAGCATTATACTATGCTACGCCGTGAGCAGAAATTGTAGTGATGTGAACACATATCGATAACAATTTATACGTATATAAATAATCTTCACATTGAGATAATCCTGGCAACCATCAACATTTTCTTGAGGAAGTAAGAGTGTATTGCAATTAAAATATAAAATAATATTTAATTCCAACACTTTATTCTTTTTAGGATTAATTTTTATTTTAAGTGTTAGTCTCTGCACTCAAGATAAAACTTTAAGTTCTAAAGTTTTGTAAATTTTTAACCTTTGCTTATTTGGTCAATGAATGTTTATGATGCAATGAAAATTTTTAGTATACTATCGGCACGAACTACTTCGATAGGAAATGAAAAAAAAATATTTAAAGGGATAAGAAAGAATCTGTCAGTTACTTTTTATGACACGAAGATAATCTTTGAAAGTAAAAGCAAATGCATATTCTTTTTAAGATATTTCCAATGAAATATAAACAAGTATCTTTTTTATTTCGGGTTCTGTATACATTGCGATTGTAATGTGTGATTGTATGCAAATGATTCGATTGTAATGCATTCAGTACTTGTTCTTTATTGCTGGTACGCCAAACGCAACATTCTACTGCTTATAATATTACACGTGATTAAGTAGGTTTTATAAGTTTGTCTATCACCGGTTTTTGTTTCAAACAGCATCAAAGCTGGGCATTGACATAATTTTAAAGTAATGTAAACTTAATATACTTTTCATCCGCGATCCTAATGTAAATGAATTTTTTTACGCAAAAAGTTCACCCGAGGGTCGCAGATGTGTTGATAACCCTTTGACGATTGGACTCCGGCTACCTCAATCGCCAGGCGAAACGCGAAAGTATTTGTTATACTTCCACTTTACGCCGGTCTTCTGTGAGGTCGTGGTACTTACCCGGACGAGCCTGCCCGTTCGTGCAACAGTCGAGGCTGCTGCGTGGCTCTACCACCGTTCTACCGAACTACCAAAATTCAATTAACATTGCATTCCATGTTTTTTTTTAAACTTAAATTGGGATAATGAGCTACCACTACTGCTAACGTTATACAAAGTTAGACATGGAATCATGATTTCATTATTTTATATGATCATGATGATTATTTTAAATGAAAAATTTACCTACAAAAAATTCTAATTAGTTATTACCCTATCAAAATCCAAACGAAGAGGGATCAAAATTCAAAGATACTTGATTAACAAAAAATCTTTACTTATGTATTTTTATGTAAAACATTTAAATTAGATCTTGGAACGATTTAAAAAAAATCCCCTGTGTGGATCCAACCCCATAACACAGGGTGCAATGGCAGGTGAAAACTTAAACATAACATAGCATAACTGGAGTATTCATAACCCATGCACTATCAGACGTTGATAAATCAAATAATAATTTCGTAGTTATTATATGTAGTCGATAAATAAATAGATACAGTAATGCTCATCACTAATGTTGAACTTTGGACCTCAGTCTTTGTTTATAGTCCCGCTACAATAAATTGACTTCAAGGTTTCAATTCGCGATTCACTATGGGAGCAAACGTTTGCTATTTTGTTTTAAGTAAACCAGTTTTTTTTTTTTATTTTAGTAGTAAAGGCGCACGACATATGAATGAAAACTTGTATATTAGGTATAACAAAATCATTGGTTATGATTGATTCCTTATATCTTTCTTGAATAAATTACGACAATTTTTTTTAATTTGTATTAATATCTATTCTTTTGGAATAATGTTCTGGTGAAAAAATGCTGGATGATTAATTTAACTGGATTAATGCTACGATTTAGCGCTTCAGCAAGCGATGTAACTTGATTGGCATGGTCTTTAAAATTAAGAGGGACTATCAAACCGCTCGCCTGCTGTTTCATTACTTAACATGCTTGTTATCAAAAATTCTAGTTTCCTTTATATATTCTTTAGTAAATTAAAGATGATTTTGGCCATGAATTCATGATATGTTGGGGTCGGTTATGATATTCATATACCAGGGTAAACGGCCATCTTCAAAGGTGGTGATAATAGCAAGCTCAGATAAATTTTATTGATGAATGGAAAGGGACGCACGCTGTTGGTTGTTTAAATTCAAGCTATGTATCCATCGAGCGGAGCAGTGAAGATGAACAAGAAGCTGTTAGCGTATTAGAAGAGCTCAAATGACCCAAAATCAACGGTTGAAATCGTTGGACACAGACACAGTTATGTCCTGTAGATACTACGTACAATGTAACGTTACCACTATATGAGACTACTCCACTGTTTACTATTAGTTATTAAGCTAGCTACGCAGTGTGACAATACAGAATCGGTCTTCTAATCGGATGATTAAATCTCGACAGTAAAATAGCGGCATAAATCGGATGATTAAATCTCGACAGTAAAATAATGGCATCGAAACATCGAGATGCCTGAATTCAATCGGTAAACGATTTACATTTTTGAACTTACATGTGTGTAATGGTGAGTGTAACAATAATGATCGCACTGACGACGTATTTAATCCTACCGTTATGTTACATAAAATATTTTGATTGTGACAGTGTGTTTGTTTTTGTGTGCGTTACCAAAAAATGTATTATTACGCGACAACAGCTGAACGATTTCGAGTAGAATTGGAAACGAACATGACTATCACCAATTAACGTCCGATGAGATATTATTACGAAAAAAGACAACGTGAGTCATGCCACGGGTAAAAGCTAGTAGTCAAAGTTTTAGTGCTTTGCGATGTTCACGTATTCGGTCTTGTTTAATGGACCTCAGATCAGGTAGGGTTCAGAACCTCGGGTCGGACCTCTAGAAACTTCCGAATTGCAATTACTAATTGATCGTAATGAACGGTTAACATCAGCTCTAACATCACTAGGGGTCTTGATTTAATTCCCCCATGGGAGGTACGGTAAATTAACATACGAAGGCGTTGGTAAATCGTGTTTTCTGAACTTTGTTTGCCTGTGTAAAATTTGTGTATGCCGACGTCTGGGTGGAAAAGTAAATAAAGTAAGTTTAATTCAAGTACAGAGATTAGCACTAATATAAAAAAAAGTGAAGTAAAAAAGGTACGAGTCTATACATGTCCCATTGCTGGGTAAACCCTAACCCCTTTACAGAGGGAATCAGGGCACAGTCGCGGCCCTACTGCGAATTGGCGGACTTCACATAGCTATATTCGAAATATTTTATGTTATTATTTCGAAAATATGTTTCTCACAATGTTTTCCTGCACCACTGATATGAGCTTAGTACTTAAAATTAAAAATTTCATTGGTGCCGACACCGGGATTGCTCGAATTTATTGAATTAATGGCGAGCGCCCGGACACTGAGCTATCGCGGCTCTGTGAAACAGTACGTCATGGTTTAATATAATTCTATGTAATATAATTTTTGAAGGGTAATCGATGATTGTAAAATAAAGAGGATGACAAACTTAACAGCTTCCAGTTTATCTTTAGTTTACTTATGCGGTTTTGAATATGCATTGAAAAATACATCTTAATACTGGAACTTAACGTTTATTTTGTGATATACGTTTACATCCACCGTTGTGTTATGTTACTATTTATTCTTGGAACGAGAGTCTAAGCTGAGATTGAGGCAATTCACGACTTCTTAGAATCATTATCACAGTACCGGCTGTGCTCACGTTGGTTTAGGATATACCTGAGTGTTATGTAAATAATGAGTATAGTTTATATACCTAAGTTTTCAAGAGCCGTGATAGCTTAGTGTAAGGGCGCTCGCTATTTTTGATCTATTTTAGTATTCCATACCCAAAGGGTAAAACGGGACACGGGAACGGGGAACGGGGAACGGGGAACCCTAAAATGATAGAAGAAAAAGAAAAAGTCAGAAAGGAAAGGCGTGATTCAGATGACCGCACATTTTTTGGGTTCTGTACCAAAAGGGTAAAACGGGAGCCTATTGCTAAGACTCCGTGTCTGTCTGTCCGTCCGTCTGTCACCAGGCTGTATACCATGAACCGTGATAGTTAGTTGAAATTTTCACAGATGATGTATTTTTGTTGCCCAAACAACAAATACTAAAAAACAGAATAAAATATATTTAAGTGGGGCTTCCAAACAATAGACATAGTTTTTATAGATAATGGTACGGAACCCTTCGTGCGCGTGTCCGACTCGCACTTGACCGATTTTTTTAGCTAACGAATGGTATAAGGAGAAAGATCACTAGTGAAATCTGTGTAGGCCGTTAGGTTTTAAGCCATATATAAATTTCAAGACAAACATTATCTATTTTCAAGCGGACAACGTTAAGAACTCTTTAAAGTGATTTATTATTTCCACAGGGCACTTGAAAACCTAAACAAATAGAACTGTTTATTGTAGCATTAAATGTACCCTTGTTGTTGAGAATGGAATAACAGTATTATTTGCTTTATATCAATGTCCTATAACCTATGTTCTTAATCTGTAATTTTAGGCTTGTATAATGGATGACGCTGTAGTATTTAGAAAAATATACCGGCATTTCCAAAAAAATCTCGACAGAATAGGTACGAATTTCATAATATTATACATTTAAAGTCTTAAGAATAAAATAGACGAACTTAATAGGTTTCTTGTATCTGAGAATATTGAGCTAAAAATAAATACAGGTTTTTTCGTTTCTTATACTAAAATAGTTTAAGTAGAGGACAAGTAGTGTAGCGGACAAGCTGATGGGAATAAATAGAAATATATCTGAAGCGGATAACCATAACCATCACTTGAGTAAATCTATGACGACATGCACGAACAAGGAATCCTAAAAGACTGGCTACGTATTTGTTGTTATAGCAGCAACCGAAATATA